CAAATATGAGAGATTTATAATTTCTTCTACAAGAACAAAAACTCAATTATGATAAATATATTGCTCTTTCATTCGAGAGATAAAAAAACTAAATGTAATAAACAAATTAGTACAACACCTAACACTGACCTTATCCGAATGAAACCTTCGGGCGGTATTCGGAATGGACGAGAAAGAGCATTTGACGGATTACTATCCCAAAGGAAAAGCTATGCAAATGTCTTATTGTGCTCGAATAAACAAAAATGCATAATCTTAGTGAGCGTTTGGACATAAGAACTGTAAAATTCTGGAAAAAAAAAGTGAAAATGGTATTTAGAAATTAGAGTTGTGTTTGGTCATGAATATATTTTGGGTTGTTTTGAATTTTTGTGAGTGATCTGAGTGAAAATTTTGAAAACAGTTTTTTGGAGTTTTTTAAATTTTCGAAAAATTCCAAAATTCATCTTGAAGTGATAATTGAAAATTTTAGCCTAACACTAATTTAAAAAAAAAGTGAAAATTTTTCGAAAAAAAATGAAAATGTTTTCATGGCCAAACAGGCTCTTTAAGGTGCTGAAATACTTGAAACATGTCAGAGAATTACATTTACCTTGAAACTTCATGTTAAAATTTGCCAATGCATTGTGTTAGATGGAGAGTTCTTACTATAACAAAAGAAACATAGATGAATATGTCTTTTTTGTTGATACAAATCTAAGCAAGAAGAACACATCAACGATTTGAAATAATCGTACAAGCTTAAGTTCAAAAAGAGACCCGAAGTTGGACATTAGTTAATTCCAAATAGAATCTTCCGACAATGGAATGGTATACCTTTTCTCATGGCTAAATCGTGTAATATTAAACTCGATGTTGAAAATTAATCAAGTCCAACTTTAAATGGTAAAAAAATTATAATGATGAACCAATAGTCATATATCACTCAACTCTTCCAGTTTAGCCTCTACAATGACGGAGCTAGAGTGTTAGGAACGTGTTTGGTCGAACCCAATAATTTTGATTCAAACTTCGTATTAGTCTTTAAAAATTTATTAAAAATTTATAAATTATTAACTTACAACCCAGTATCTTAAAAGAATTAAAATTTCAAACCCAACAACAATGATCCAATAAAATCCCACAAATAAGATTTTCATAAACTTAAAATTCTGACTCTGTCTCTACCCTCTACCTTGCAAATTAAATTTTGGAGATGCTAGTTAATTGTTTGTTCCCTGACGTGGGAATAATGGTAACTTGGATGGCATGGGGTTAAATCATATGCTCCTTATATATATATATATATATATATATATATATATATATATATATATATATATATATATATATATTTGTTTTATCAATTAATTCATAATACCAGGTTTATTACAACACCAATAACAAGAGACTCAGTGTAATATTATAAGTGGGGTTGGGGAGGGTAGTGTGTACGCAGACCTTACCCCTACCTTCAAGAAGGCAAAAATGTTGTTTCCGGTAAACCCTCTGCTTAGGAAAGGTAAAAGGAAGGGCAGCAACAAACACACCAATTAGAAAACCGAAGAAAAATTACAAAACTAAAACTAAGTACTAAAATCAGAAAGCCAAAACGAAAGCAACAATAGGTAATCACAGAAGTCAAGGAATACGAAAATACACAAATAACACTAACTCATGTACTAAAACTACTGTTATAGACAAGGACAACGCTCAGATACCTATCCTAAACCTTTACCTTTATTCTCAACCTCCAACCTTCCTATCCATGGTCATGTCCACAGTGAGTTGGAGCAACACCATATTTTGCCTAATCACCTCTGCCTAGTACTTCTTCGGCCCGCCTTTACCTCTCCTTAGGTCCTCTAGGGCCAACCTCTCACACCTCCTCACCGGTGCATTCTCTCATCTTCACATGCATGAACCATCTAAGTCTCGCCTCCCACATCTTGTCCTCCACAGGGTCCACGCCCACCTTGTCACGAATAACTTCATTTCTAATTCTATCTAACATGGTATGCTCGTGCGTCCATCTCAACATCCTCATTTCATCCACCTTCATCTTTTGGACATGGAATTTCTTGACTGACCAACACTCCGCCTCATACAACATAGTCAGTCTGACCATCGCTCTATAAAACTTACTTTGTAGGCGGCATATTCTTATCACATAAAACACCAGAAGTGAGCCTCCATCTCATCCACCCCGCCCTAATACGACGTGTAGCATCCTCGTCGATCTCTCTATTACCTTGTACAACTGACCCAAGGTGATGTGATTCTTCGATTTATCAAAGAACCAACCGACCAAGATCAAGATCTTGAAACGAAAACGTAGTTTATGGGCTGATTTCAAGAAACAACGTATCTCAAGTTATAGGACTAGAAATCTGATTATTTAAAAATTAGGTGAAAGATGACGATTTGAACTATAAGAAAGACTATTTGCACGTCCAAAACAAGTAAATATTGATGTTGCACCAGTTCAATGAAAGTTATGATTCTATAATATCAAAAGAACGAAATTAGATCAAGAAACGTGTTCTTGAAAGATCAAGAACTAAACAAGTTCCTAAAGTCACCACTTGGAATCAATTAACGTGATAAAGAAACAATTAAAAATAAAATAAAGACTATCACCACCCTGCTTGGAACCAAAAACAAGGATAAAAAAGACAAAATAGAGAAAAATACTCTATTGTAAAACTAGGCAAACCTTAAAAACGTGAATTGCATTCTACAAGGCAAGGGAACCCTTTATATAGGCCTAGAGTCTCTTCTTTGATGACTACAATTCCTATTCTAATAAGGAAATAAAATAACTAAAGACACGGAAAGTAAAATCCCTTTTTTACAAGGAAAAGAAACTAGAATCCTACTAAAAGAAAAATTCTTATTCTAAAAGGAATAAAATAAATCTTACTTTAGGAAGGAAAGGGTCTTGGATTCTTGAAATCAATCTTGGGCTTTTTGAACTTGAAGACACGTCCACACACCTATTCGTGGGCATATAAGAACTTGTTTTTGGCGAGCTACATAACAAAGGGCTAATATAGCTTCTTGATTTCCCTCATTCTCCCCTGGTTGAAAAGGACTCATCCTCGAGTCTAAAGGCTCTATAAATGATGCAAGGTGAGCAACATTAAATATTGGTGACACTCCATAATCGTCCGATAGATCCAATCTGTAAGCATTGTCACCTAACTTTTGAACAACTCGAAATGGACCATCAGCACTTGGTTGCAACTTTGCATTCTTTTGGTTAGGAAATCTTTCTTTCCTCAAGTATACCTAGACTAAGTCTCCCACATTAAAGAATTTTTTCTTTCTCTTCTTATCAACTTGTTTCTTATATGCCTTAGTTTGTCTCTCAATCTCTTATATTACTTTCTCATGCAACTTTTTCAATTGCTTAACCCTCTCATCAGCATATCCACTAAAATAATGAGTTTTAATAAGAAGAGACAAGTCTAATAGACCAAGAGGATTCTTACCATAAACCACTTCAAAAGGACTTTTTTCAGTTGTTCGATTCACAGACTTGTTGAAAGCAAACTCAACATGTGGTAGCAAGGATTCCCATTCTCTTATATTCTTCTTGATCAAACTTCTTAGGAATGCACCTAAACTTCGATTGACTACCTCTGTTTGTCCATCTATTTGAGGGTGATAAGATGAGCTATAATTCAACTCCGTACCAAGCTTAGCCCATAAAGTATGCCAAAAATGACTGAGAAACTTAGTGTCGCAATTAAAAACAATGCTTCTTGGCATGACGTGTAACTTGACAATAGTGTTAAATAACAAAAGAGCCACATGAGTTGCATCACTTGTCTTGTTACATGGGATAAAGTGTGTCATCTTAGAGAATCCATCAACAACAACGAAGATAGCATCCTTACCTCCTTGAGTCCTTGGCAATCCAAGCACAGAGTCCATGCTAATATGTTCCCACGGTGTTATAGGAATTGGCAAAGGATCATATAACCCTTTATTGCTCCCATGCATTTTTGCTTTTCTACATGTTTCACAACGCTCAATCACTTTCAACATATCTTTGTTCAATTTAGGCCAGTAGAAGTTTTCTTGAATCATCTTCAATGTTACAGAATGGCCAAAATGACAAGCTAATCCACCCTCATGTGCTTCCCTCACAATGGACTCCCTTAAAGAGCTTTGTGGTATGCAAAGTTGCTTTCCATAGTAAATAAACCCATCTCGAATTACAAACATTCTTTGTGGAACTCCAAGCATCTCTTCCAAACATCTCCAAAGTCTGGATCAACTTCATAAAGCTCCTTGATATGGTCGAATCCAAATATTTTTTTGCATCATAGAAATTAAACATGGTCTTCTACTAAGAGCATCAACCACTTGATTGAGGTTTCCAGCTTTGTGCTTACTTACGAACTGAAAATTCTGAAGGAACTCTACCCATTTTGCATGCCTTGCGTTGAGCTTTTATTGGTGACTAAGATACTTTAGTGCCTCATGATTAGAATATAGCTCAAAATCTCTTGGTAATAAATAATGACTCTTTTTCATAGGTGGAGTACTTCAATTTAGATCCACTTAGCTTCTCACAAAAATAAGCCAAAGGTTTACCTTCCCGGATAAGAAATCCTCCAACACCAACACCTAAAGCATCACATTATACTTCAAATAAAAAATCAAAGTTAGGAAACTGAAGGATAGGAGCTTGTATCATCTTCTTCTTTATAAATTCAAAACTCTTTTGAGCTTCTTCATTCCACTTGAACATGCCTCCTTTCAAACACTCAGTTATAGGGGCAACTAAAGTGCTGAAATTTCTGATAAATCGGTGATAGAAGGACACCATTCCATGAAAGCTCCTTATATCCGAAATTGACCTAGGAATTGGCCAACTTATGATTGCCTCAATCTTGCTTGGGTTAACTTGAATACCAGCACTAGTTAATATGTAACCAAGAAACCAAACATTGTTAGTAGAAAAGATGCACTTCTTGAGTTGTCCATATAGCTTCTCTCTCCTTAAGGTTTCAAAAAACCTTCTCCAAATGTTTTCCATGTTCAGCTTCCTCTTTGCTATAAATTAGGATATCGTCAAAGTAGACAATAACAAACTTCCCAATGAATGGTCTAAACACATGAGTCATAAGCCTCATGAATGTGCTAGGACCATTCGACAAACCAAAAGGCATTATCAACCATTCATACAAGCCTTGGCTAGTCTTGAAGGCAGTATTCCATTCATCACCTTCTCTCGTACGAATCTGGTGGTACCCACTCTTCAAATCAATCTTTGAAAAGATCTTAGAACCATGTAATTGGTCAAATAGATCATCTAACATTGGGATTGGGGAGCGATATTTGATATTGATCTTGTTGATTGCTCGACTGTCAACACACATCCTCCAAGTGCCATTTTTCTTAGGAACAAGCAAAGTAGGTACGACACAGGGACTAAGGCTATCCCTTATTAAACCCCTCTCCAAATGCTCTTCGACTTGCCTTTGGAGTTCAACTTGTTGTGTAGTATTCAATCTATAAGCTTTTTTGTTTGGCAACGATGCTCCGGGTATAAGGTCAATTTGATGTTGAATATCGCGCATGGGTAGAAGTTCTAACGGAACATCTTCAGAGATCACATAATCAAACTTAGCAAGTAACTTCTTGGCTCGTGTATCTAACTCATGCTCCTCATCTTGTGAGTCTTCCATGGCTACTGCTATGTACAATGGCTCTCCTTTATTTATGTGGCCAATAATCTATGATCTGGTCATTAGCGTATCAGACATGATCTTTGCCCTCTTTGAAAGTTCTTTTGGGTGCAATGGCGTCAAAACGATCTTACATCTATCAATTATGAGTGAATAGGTGTTACGGTATCCATCATGAAAAGCACGCTTCTCATATTGCCATTGCCTTCCAAATAATAAATGGCAAGCTCCATATTTACCACATCACACCAAATTTTGTCTTTATAGATCTGACCAATAGAAAAAGAGACCAAGCATCTTTTAGTGACTTTCATACCTCCACCATATTGTATCCACCCAACTTTGTAAGGTTTGGGATGTATCTTAGTCTCCAAACTCAATTTAGTCGCCATCTCTTCCGAAAAAGCATTAGTGCAACTTCCAGCATCAACAATCACTGAACATACCTTGCCATGTGATGTACACCGCGTGTGCAACAGGGCCTCTCATTGCTATGATTCTTCATCTTCATGTTCAGCATGTAAGATCCTCTGAATAACAAGCATATCACCTTCATCAGGTTCTACATAGGCATCCTCATCTTCCTCATTAACTTCCTCTATTGGCTGGTTGTCTTCATGATTGGAATCATTATCTTCACCAACCAACATAACAACCTCTTAGTTGGGACAATCAGCTTGCACATGCCTAAAATCTTGGCACTTAAAACATCTTATCCTAATCATATCCCCCCCTGAGGTTTCTTTTCATCACCCTTTGAAGATGAATTAGAAGAATTACCTCTATAAATTGCCTTGGAATTTCCACCACTACCACTAATACTCCTCTAGTTAGAGTAATTCTTCTTTGAGTATAATTTCTTTGGCTCCTTTTATTGTTGTTCGATGTTGATGGCAAGCTTTAGTATATCATTTAATGTCTAATAAGGTTGTAGGCGAATAACATCGGAGATGGCACGCCTTAAAGCACCAATATATCTTGCTATAGTCTGTTCCTTAGGTTCTCGGGTATCACACTTAATCATGAGGTATTCAAACTCTCGAGTATAGTCTTCACGGTCTGGTCTCCTTGCTGAAAGTTATAAAATTTAAGATAATTCTCTTGTTTATACGTATTAGGAAGAAAACATCTTTGAAGTTCTCTCTTCATCTTCTCCCAAGTTCAAATCTTACCACGACCTTCTTTTTCTCTTTCTCGCTTCAAATTGTCCCACCAAAGTGAAGCATATCCATTAAACTTGATGGCAGTGATCTTAACCTTTTTCTCCTCAAATCAATCCTTGAACTCAAATATTCGTTCTACGATCAATAACCACTTCATAAACGCATCCCCTTGTGCTTTTCCATCAAAATCAGGAACATCAAACTTCACATCATCCCTTTTCTCCCAAGTATGGTTCCTCCTTCTCCTTGGGCGATCAGAGTCATCATCTTGTTGTCTTCTAGGAGGATTCGAATTTTCACTTGAGTCATCTCCATCAGCCATATGAAAGGGGTAAATATCAGAGTCCCCTTCATCATCTTCCTTGGGCCTTCTACGTTGTTCTTTCCTTTCGTAGTGTTGGAGTTGCCTCTGTGGTTGTTCTATTGTTCTACTCATCTCTTCCATCTCCATGTCACGATTGGTTGTTCTTCCTTCACCTTCTTGAACCCAATGACCCTTTCTTGCTTGTATATTAGGTTCACCACCTGCTGCTCTGATACCAAATTGATGTGATTCTTTGAGTTTACAAAGAACCAACCGACCAGGATCAAGATCTTGGAATGAAAACGTGGTTTATGGGCTGATTTCAAGAAACAATGTATCTCAAGTTTTAGGACTCGCAATCTGATAATTCAAAAACGAGGTGAAAGATGACGGTTTGAACTATAAGAAAGACCTTTTACTCATTCAAAACAAATTAATATTGATGTTGCACCAGTTCAATGAAAGATATCATTCTATAATATCAAAAGAACGAATTAAGATTACGAAACGTGTTCTTGAAAGATCAAGAACTAAACAAGGTCCTAAAATCACCACCTGGAATCAATTAACGTGATAAAGAAACACCACACACAATTGCAAACAAGATAAAGACTATCACCACCTTGCTAAGAACCAAAAACAAGGATAAAGAAGACAAAATAGAGAAAAACACTCTATTGTAAAACTAGGCAAACCTCAAAAAAGTGAATTGCATTCTACAAGGTGAGAGAACCCTTTATATAGGCCTAGAATCTCTTCTTTGATGACTATAATTCCTATTCTAATAAGGAAATAAATTAACTAAAGACAATATTTCACTAGAAGATGTTAGTAATGCACTAAAATCTAAAGAGTTGAAAAAGAGCTTTTTAAAAAGTAGAATTGAGGGAGAGGGTCTTGTGAGTAGAGGAAGAACACAACAAAAGGACTTTAGCAGAAAAAAGTCAACCGCCAGACCAAATTCTAGAGCAAGGAAGCAAAACTGTTATGAGTGCGAGGAGCAAGGTCACTACAAGAGAGATTGTACTAAGTTGAAAGAGAAAAGAGGGAAGTAGAAAATAGATAATTCGGCAAATATTGTTGACATTGGCAACAATTTTAATGATAGTGACTTTGTAGGGGAAGTCTGTGTTGTGATTTCTATTCATGGGCAGAATTTTTGGGTTCTTGATTCTGGTGCTACTTTCCACATGTGTCCATATAAGAATTGGTTTTCAACTTAAATGCAAATGATTGGGACTGTCTACATGGGAGATGATAATCCATTACCAGTAGAGGGGTTGGTAACATCAAATTGAGAACATTCGGTAGAATTATCAGAAACATTGAGTGTTGGCATGTTCCTCGGATAAAGAGAAATTTGATCTCTCTTTCATCTTTGGATGATCAAGGGTATATATTTCACTCCGAGCATGGAATACTTAAAGTATGTAAAGGATCCATGGTACTCATGAAAGATAAATTACATTCTAAATTGTATCATCTTTAGGCCAGTGTAGTTGAATGGGAAGTTGTTGTAGCTTCTAGGAAAATTGATATGAATTAGTCTCAGTTGTGGCACTTGCGATTTGGTCATATGAATGATAAAGGGATTGTCTTTGTTGAGTAATCACAATTTGCTGATGGGTACAAAAATCAAGTTTTGAATTTTTGTGAGCATTGTGTGTTTGGTAAACAGACAAGGATAAAATTTAGCAAGAAGGCCGAGCACAAGACCAGAGACAAGTTAGAGTATATACATTCAGACTTGTTGGGTCCAAACAGAGTTCCTTCCAAGACTGGTGCCAGGTATTTTATGATTTTTATTGATGATTACTCAAGGGTGGTGTGGGTGTATTTTATGAAAACAAAAGATAAGGCATTTCCGACATTTGTTAAATGGAAGACGATGGCTGATAGGAAGATGGAAAGAAAAGTTAAGCATTTTCGAACTGACAATGGGTTGGAATTTTGCAATCCTGAGTTCGATAATTTCTGCAGTAGAGAGGGCATTGTGAGACATCGCACTTGTATCGGAACACCACAACAAAATGGTGTTGCAGAATGTATGAACAAAACTCTTTGTGATAGGGCACGAAGCATGCTTTCACACTCATGTGTTATCAAGGATTTTTGGGCTGAAGCAATCAATACAACGTGTTATTTAGTCAACAAATCTCCATCAACAACTATTGGTTCAAAACTCCTTTTGAGGCATGGTCTGGTTCGCCTGCTGACTATTCAAATTTAAGATATTTAGTTGTCCTACTTATGCTCATGTGAGGGATAAAAAGCTTGAGTCGAGGGGAAAGAATTGCAATTTCTAGGGTATGCAACTGGAGTGAAAGGTTATAAGTTGTTCTGCACAGATCAAAAGACTCCAGTGCTAATTATCAGTAGGGATGTAACATTTAATGAGTCTGCCTCACTGGACAGTCAGAGGGAGAAGGCAGTAGCAGAAATAGATCGTGGTGTTAGTAACCTCATAGAGCTAGAAATTGAATCTCCACTAGCTCAACCCAGTAGCTCTAAAGTAGAGGAAGTGGATGAGGTGCAAAATATTGATCAAGATGATAATGTTGATGCACCTGTACAAGAACAACAATATAGCATTGCAACAAGCAGAGAGAAGAGAGTGATCAATCCACCACAAAGGTTCACAAACATAGCTGATGGTAATTTTCCTGGATATGCAAATTTTATGGAGTTTGCTCTATCAGTTGCAGAAAACCATTGGTGTGCTTGAACCTAATAGCTATAAAGAAGCTATTTCTAGTCCAGAAGAAGATCAGTGGGTTGGTTCTATGGGTGAAGAGATTGAGTCTCTTCATAAGAATAATACATTAAAGCTTGTTCCATTGCCAAAGGGACAGAAGGTACTACGCTGCAAATGGATTTTCAAAAGAGAAGAGGGCAATCCAGGGGTTGAAGCATCAAGGTACAAGGCAAGATTAGTAGTTAAAGGTTTTACACAGAGGGAGTGGATATATTACAATGAAGTGTACTCTCTAGTGGTAAAGCATAGCTCTAATAGGGTCTTATTGGATTTGGTGGCTCTTCATGACTTACAGCTAGAGCAGTTAGATGTGAAAACTGCATTCTTGCATGTTGAGTTGGATGAGCAAATTAATATTAGTCAACCTGAGGGAAAAATCATATTTGCTTGCTTAAGAAATCTTTATATGGTCTGAAATAGTCGCCTAGGTAGTGGTATAAAAGATTTGATACATACATGATTTAAAATGCATTTTCTCGAAGTGCATATGATAGTTGTGTGTATTACAAAAAGCTTGACGATTTTTCTCATGTATATTTGTCGTTATATGTAGATGACATGCTTATTGTTGCTAAAAGCATGTCACATATTATCTGATTGAAGAAGCAACTAGGTGAGGAGTTTGAGATGAAGGATTTGGGTGTTGCAAAGAAGATATTGGGGATGGAGATTACTCAAGATAGAAGGGTTGGAAAGTTGATCCTATCTCAACGGTCCTATATTGAGAAGGTCCTCAAGAGATTCAATATGACATGTGCTAAATTTGTGTATGTTCTGT